TGCCATAGCTACGCGACAGCTTCTTGAGGAACTAACAGAATTGCCAGTGATGGTTGAGCTTGCATCCGACTTTTTGGATCGTAATACCCCAGTCTTTAGAGACGACGTCTGCTTCTTTATTTCTCAATCAGGTGAGGCAGAAATATAATGTAAATATATGCAAAACAAATAAATAAGAAAATTTAAGCTTGACAAATAATATCGTTTTAACGTGAAAAAAATTACTGAATTATATATACACAAACACAAAATTGAGTTATTGTTATTCTTATAATGATAGGCGAGACAGCTGACACATTAATGGCACTACGTTATTGTAAAAGCCGCGGAGCTCTTATCGTGGGTATAACTAATACAGTTGGTAGTAGTATCTGTCGTGAATCTCATTGTGGAGTGCATATCAACGCTGGTCCCGAGATCGGTGTAGCAAGTACTAAAGCGTACACTTCGCAATTTATCTCGCTTGTAATGTTTGCACTGGTAATGAGCGAGGACAGAATTTCTCTTCGCGCGAGACGCTTACAGGTACATTCACATCCAGGGTGTTGTACTTTTTATTTTTAATAAAATGTAATTAAATCTTACGCATATTTTTGTTACGCAGATTATCGAAGGATTAAAAAATCTCGATAATCTTATTCGCGAAGTATTGAAGCTCGATGACAAAGTCAAGGAGCTAGCCAAATCTTTGTTTCAACACAAGTCCCTATTGATCATGGGCCGCGGATACAATTTTGCCACGTGCATGGAAGGTGCACTCGTAAGTAGGCGATAATAAATTTCTTTGCAATTAACGTTATAATTAACTAATTCATACATATTTGCAGAAAGTAAAAGAATTGACATACATGCACAGCGAAGGAATTATGGCCGGTGAATTGAAGCATGGTCCGTTAGCTCTCGTTGACGATTCCATGCCGGTAATTATGATTGTAATGAGAGACCCAGTGTACGTGGTAAGTTTAATTGAGCAAGTTTTTAATATCCGGCTGCTCTCAATAAATATTATATAGGCGAAGAATTTCAAAGAAATACAGAAATGTGGCATATGTCTCTCAATTCAATAATTTATTTTACAGAAATGCATGAATGCACTTCAGCAAGTTACCGCGCGGGACGGTAAGCCCATTGTTATCTGCGAGGAAGGGGATGAGGAAACGAAGGCTTTTGCCGATAGAGCTCTCGAGATACCTAAAACCGTCGATTGCCTGCAAGGAATTCTCACCGTCATTCCCATGCAGTTATTGTCTTTCCACATAGCGGTTTTGCGTGGTTGTAACGTTGATTGTCCGAGAAACTTGGCGAAATCAGTCACGGTTGAGTAAAGATCGAATGGATTTCATTGTTCCATGAAATTTTTTGGGATTACACAAATTTGCTAACGGTTGGTTGCTACAAATTTTTCTTAATCTATACGAGAGTTATGGATAGAGAAGATAAGTAATTATAAATATCGGGCAATTAATAATTGAATAAAACACACGTGCGCAACCGGCGTCAGAGGAGAGCGTACGTTTCTATCTTTTAAATTTTATTAAATTCATTTAACTCGTATTGCTTATTCGCGATTTAAATTTATATGACGCCTAATAATTGTTTTATCAAAGCAAGAAGATAATAATAATTAGAGATGTATATTAAGTTCTTACCTTTTTCAGAGATGAACTAATTAAAGATTTGCTCTTTGTCTTTTATAAATTTATTATATTGCGCAATATTGATTAATACAAACATTTCTCTTTTACAAAAGTAAAAAAGAATTCTTAATATATATGATTTCAATGCATTTAATATTCATATTTTATAACTCTTATAACATTTAGTTTAGTTTTTAAATATAATTGTCGATTAATCAATGCTTTCTATTTGATAAGATATGACGCGATATAGTGTAATTTCTTTCTTGATCAAGTTAAATTTAAAATTATAACAGAAATTTTCTGTACTCGATAATTATTTTAATGGATAATACGTGCGACATGAAATCGTAAGTACGTATATACGTGTATGCAATAAATATCACAAGATATGTCTAAACGAATTTTTAGTACATATGAGACAGACAACTTTTCCGTTTTTACACAAAACTTTACACATTCAAGACGAAACAGAGATTATTATCTCATTTGATTTTTGAACGGCGATTAATGTATTATACACAAATATGTAATAGTGATTTTTTAGGACATGTATCTTTTTGATAAATCTATGTTACAAATTTGTAAATTTAATCAAAAAATATATAATTACTACTTGATTTATATACAATAAATTTTTCTTTAAAACAGTTAGTGTTCTCATATTTTTCTATATATATATGTGTGTGTGTGTGAGTGTGTATAACAAGTAATTGTTTATTAAAGCGAAATATTGTCGTTATAACTAAAAATTATATAAAATATTTTTTAAAAAGAAAGTGGGAAAGGGGGAGAGAGAGAGAGAGAGAGAGAGAGAGAGAGAGTAAAAAAAGTTACGATGGAATTTTTACGTGTAATTATTTCCATTTTATAGAATACAACATTTTAATTTAAATTTACGTTAAAGCAAGCGTTTAGACAAGTATTTAAAATAATTATAAAAATCCAAAATAGGATACAATAGAAAATAGAAAAAACGAAACGCATAGCAAAATTATTATTTGTGAAAATTTAATATATGCTAACATCGTTTTATCTTTCTTTTCAAAATTAGAAAAAACCTAAAGTAACGCAGAAGGTACTTATTAAAATTTTCAGCGTAGATTATTAAAATTTCTAGATTTTATCAGAGATGATACACTTTAAATATATATATATATACCTTTTAAAATTATTCCCAGATTTAAGATTCTGATTAACATCTGATTGTTAATACTTTTATAGAGATGCTTATTAACATAAAAAATTATTAAATTGTTCGTTAATTTAATAAAATGATATTATTACTCTGATTTTTCTCATGATTGCACTGTTACAAACGCTTTTATAAATTTTATTAACTTTTAAGTTACACAATTTGAATTTAATTTCATGACATTACATTATAAATGTAATGTATTTATAACTAAAAAGTATATTTGTGTACATATACATAAAATTTAATATATTTTTCATGAAAATTTATGAAATTTCATGTATACATTCATTTTATTTAAGTAACTACTGTAACTTAATTTTCAGTTAAATCATTCATTATTTTTAATTTCGTTCATAACCACGAGCTTCATTTACATTTCTAACAGTATGCATTACGAAAAAATCGAAAAAGATTTCAGCGCGCAGTATACAGAATTATATGAATTCACACAAATATTTAAGCATTAAGATTCGTTTTGACTGAATATATAAGAATTCTCTTATTTAATTAGACTTATTTTTCGTGTGTGGTTTGAACGTATAAAACGTATGCCAAGATGACGAACAAAGCAGAGCAAAGTGACGCCAAAGTCGAACACGGTCACTTGGGTCGAACGCGCCAGTAGTAAATCTCGTGTTTACGCCCGACATGCGGACGCGCGCGCATCCGCAGGCACAGTTTGTGTATCGACGAACGACGCCATAACTGCCACGGCTCTCTTGGCGGAAAACATTTGAACGAACGACAATAATAATAACGCGTGACCTTACGGCGTTAGCGCGGTGAATTCGGTTAACAATTGATTCGTTGGAATTCGCGGAAATTCGATTCGACGGAGAAACCCATCGTTGTCGATCGTTCCGTATCGTAACTGTTGATAAAGTCCTTGTAAGTTATTCGGCGTTCCCGACATTATGGCTGTCGTGATATCTCGCGTGCGCGCGGAACGAATCGAATGGAACTTGGAAGAGAGCGAAGAGAGTAAAGCTACTTTCATTGGATTTTGGCTGTATTGAAAGTTATTGGCAGAGACTAGATGTTAAAAAACGCGGACTTGTAATTTGTGAGAGAAGATCAGGTACGTAATTCGTGATTTTCCGTGAGTTTCCGTTACATGAAAATTCTGAATAATGTTCAAACGATACTTGTAATGTTAATAACGCAATATGTAAAATTTACAAGCATAAAATTTAAACATAATCTTGTTGGCTTGCGAATCGACACAAATATTCACAAATAACAAGATACGAATATCATTTTATAGTTTTATACGCAGGCACTTTTTAAGTCTAACGTGCAATAGTAATCGTGTCGCATAAATCTCAACATTATACGTTATCAATTATATATGTATAATTATCGAGAGGGAAAGGTTTGAGGGAGAAAAATCATATTTGTCCGAATAAATCAAATCTTTATTCGGCTCTCTTAATTCTGTCTGAATCAGAGAGAAATCGAAACTTTTGTCACTTTGAACATTTTGAAGCTTTATTACAACAGAAATATATTCTCGCTCGTGAAAATGTGTACGTCGAACTTTGAAGGTATGCCAAGTGAGTAAGGGAGAAAATAGAGAGATGTTCGCGGTGTCGACATTCAATTGTCGACTCGGCTCCTTCGAATCGTGTTATTTCGCGTTGCTTTGCGGGAATAGTAAAAGCGGGAATAATAAAAGCGAAGTAAAGGAACGCGCGCGGGCGCGGGGTCGCGCGTAGTCGGCCATTATCGGCCGGCCACCCCCACCACCGCCGCTAGGCGCTACGCACTACGCGAGTCAGTCGACGATCTACCGGCGAGTAGCGCGGTCGCGTTGCGGTAGAGATTCCCGCAGAGGTGACTGGTGAAGCAACCGATCGGTTGGCAGCGCGGCTGGTTGGCGGATCGCGAGATTCCTTCCTTCCCGCATATAACCGCGTATACGTGCGTCATCGTTGCTGTCATCGGCATCGCTCGTTGCCGCCTGCCGGTGCTGTCGCCGCTCCCGTCT